TCAGAAGTGCCAGAGGTGGAGCACGCCAAGCCTTCTGGAGTTCACGACTTGTCAGAGACCACCTCAGATGCTACACATGGAACTACAGGACTTAATGTTTGGCCTGCTGGATTTTGGACTTGCTTTGGTTCCATTCATTTGTATCCTTCTGTTTGTACCTTTTGAAATGGTAATGTCTATCTTGTGCCACTGAATGCTGGAAGTGTTTAACCTTTTTTTCATTTGCACAGGGCCTTGCAGCTAAGAGTTTACCTTAAATTTCAGAGGAGACTTTAGACTTGGACTTTTCAGCAATGCTGAAACCGTTAGGACTTTGGCAACTCTTAGAGATGGAACCAAGAAAGTCCAAAATACTGAGGAGTCAACTCTTACTAGAACAGCAAGTGAGCTATCGGGGTAACTTTCTCTTGATCTCAGTGCAGACTGGTTAATGAATTTATCTTTAAGAATAATCTATCCTTTTATTGAATCAGGATACAGAGATGTTACTTTACCAGGGCCTCTTGTAAATGATCTAGGAGAGAAATATCATATTGTCCATTTTAAAAGACCAAAAGAGAGACAGCAAGGGGAACAGCTCTACTGGAGCCTAGGCAGTCCTATACAAAATCCCTACTGGCCCAACAACCATACAAGAGATTAAAATAGGATACATTTCCAATCTTGTATCCTTAAAGGCCTGAAAAGGATGAAAACTAAGCCCTTCAATATTTTAAATTGTCAACTATTAATCAAGGAAAAGATGAAAACCCCTCTGCTTTCCTAGATCATTTACAAGAGGCCCTGGTAAAGTAAACATCTCCGTACCCTGATTCAATAAAAGGATAGATTATTCTCAAAGATAAATTCATTAACCAGTCAGTACTGACATCAAGAGAAAGTTACCCAGATAGCTCACTTGCTGTTCTAGTAAGAGTTGATTTCTCAGTATTTTGTAATAAAGACTGAAAAGAGGCCAAGGGGAAAAAACAAAGAGACCAAGAAGCTGCATTGGTTGTAGTCTTAAAGGGAATAAATTCTGGGTCTGATTCCTGGGACTCCAAGAAAAGCTCATCAGCTAAATACAACTTGATACAACTATGGGAAACCAAGCCATTTTAAGAGGGATTGTGATAAGAAATATCATAACAAAAGGCCCCTAAACTATGTCCTGCAAGCAATGGTGACTACTGGAAGTCAAACTGGGACCTTTGTCCCAAGGATCGGACCCATTTTACCAGGGTTCAGATCCATTTTACCATCTGGTCCAGCAAGACTAAAGGGCCATAGGGCACTCTTCATCTCTTCTTCCTGGCTGGGTTGTTATCTCCATAGAAAAGTGCTGGGTAGTCATGACTATAGAGGAAAAATAGACCAGCCTGTTGATGGACAATGGAACTAGTCTTTCAGTTAAGTCTTTTCAACCCTGGTGTTTCTTTTAGCCATCATACATGGGTGAAAGAAGTCAGTGGGGAGGAAGGAGGTGGTTTACTATTTCTTACAACCTTTAGGCTGTAACTGGGATAATTTCTCTTTTCCCAATCCTTTTTGATCATCCTTGATAGTCCAGCTCCCCTTTTGGGAAGAGAAATCTTTTAAAAATGCTATTATTTTCATGCACCCAGGTCAGGTATGTTGCCTCCCTCTCATGGAGATCAAAATAAACTGAAGATAAAACTGGGAGAGCATTAAGAGCTGTACTGGTACAAATACATCCCAAAGATCCCACTGAAGACAATATCCTCTAAGGTCTAAGTTTAAAAAGAACTACTGCTTATAATTGACAACTTAAGGGCACAAGGTTTACATATACCTTATAACAGCCCTTGCAGCACTCCAATCTTGGGAGTTTAGAAATCCAATGGAGAGTAGAGGTCAGTATAGGATTTTAGATTTGTAGATGGGCAGTAGTGCCCATCCACACAGTGGTATCCAATCCAAACACTTTCCTTTTCCAGTTGCTCAGAGATGCCACTTCACTCTCAGACTCTAATTTAAAAGATACTTTTTTTTGTAATCCTTTGCATCCAGATTTCTAGTTTCTTTTTAACCTTAAAAGTGTTCACTAGCAGACCTTTCAACTGACTTTTGCTGTGCTACCTGAAGGGTTTGGATATAGTCTTCATTTACAGTATCTGAAAAAATGCTTTCCAATGACTTGCCCTATTTTGAATATTCCCAAGTCAGAGTACTGCTATATGTTGATTACATACTGCTATGTACCCCCTCAGAAGACCCCTCTAGCCGGGGCACTCATGCCCTGCTGAATTATCTGGCTGATAGAAGTTATAGGGTCTCTAGGACTGAGGCACAACTTTGCAACCTATGGGTAAAATCTTTGGACCTTATCATATCTAAGGGAGCCTAAGGGCTAGGGGAAGAAAGAATTAAACCTATACTTCCCTTCTCCCAGCCCAACACCCTAAAAGAGCTAGAAATGACAGGCAAAGTATGACAGGTAAGTACCCATATTTTTAATCTGGGAAACTGATTCCCTAATTACATTCCAAAAGCTTTCACAAGTGTTTTAAATTCCCCAGCACTGAGCCTTTTAACAGGACACCATTTCAATCTATATGTTGATGAAGGTAGGGCATCACCTTGGGAGAGCTTACAAAGCATTGAAGATGTGCCCAAAAGCCTGTAGGGTATCTTAGTCATGAATTAGACATGCATAAGTCTCCAACTTATGAACAAGTTCCATTTCAGAAGAATGTTCATAAGTCAGATTCATTTGTAAGTTCAATAAAGTGAGTTGTATTTTCACTTTTTTCCCATAATTATTGCTTTGCACTTCCTAGCAGTCCCCTCCACATCACCACTGCTTTTTCTCTTTCTTCTGGACATCCTGGGCTCTGACTGAACACTGTACTACTGCACACTATTGCACTATACAGTAAGCACACAGCAGCACAACTGTGACAATGTCTAGCAAACATGTGAGCTACTTCCACAATTTATTTGCATATATGAATATTCGTAATGTGAGGTCTGCTGATATCTGTGAAAATTTGCAACTTGAATGTTCATAAGCCAGAGACTTACTGTAGTAGCAAAGGGATGCCTGCTTGCCTTAAGGCTGTGGCCATCATGGCTTTTTAGGTGGCAAAAGCACTCTAACTGACCTTAGGCAAAGATCTTATTGTACACACACCTCAGAATGTGGCAGGACTTCTTTCCTTCAAAGTGGGCCTATCAGACAGCCAACTTCTTAAATATCAGACTCTACTTCTAGAAGAACCATCCATCCAAATAAAGACATGGTCCTCATTAAATCCTGGCACTTTTCTATCAAAAAAGAAAAAAAAAAAGGCTGGAAGATATGACTAAACAGGTAAGTTGCCACATGCATACAGCCAGAAAAGATTTGTTAGACACACCCCTAACTGACCCCAATTTGACCCTCGATCCCTCATGAAAAAAGGGACAAAAAATACAGGATAGGCTGTAGTTGTGGGACCAGGATGACTCCATTTTGGAGCAGTCTCCTTTGTTCTCTCAAATTTGTGCTTGAACTGGGACAAAAGACGTAATCCACAACTCGGGATTCCTAAGTTTATTACTCAGCCATCTGTTTGCCCTAGAAACAAATGTCCCGGGCCTACTATCTATAGGACAATTTGTTAACGTGCTGACTGTCCACACAGGGTGGTCGTGACCATTAGGATGTCTGCTGACCATCAGTATGTGACAGTAGACCACTAACTTTTGTCCCCATTCTTCTTGTAAAAACCTATACGTAATCCCCTTCAAGCACCAATGAGCCTAGCCAATCAAAATTCTACACTTCATATTTGCTAAGTGTTAACCAATCATATGGCTGCTAATGACCAAAGCTTGTTGTATTCTCAATAAAAACCCTGCTAATTTAGAACTCGGGGCCCTCAATCTCGATCCACTGTGTCGGTGACAATTGAGAGTCCCTGCTTAAGCTTGAATAAACGACCCTCGTGTGCTTACATCGGAAATGGCCTCCTGGTGGTCTTTGGGACTTCACTATCTGGGCACAACATTTGGGGGCTCATCCGGGATCCCAAGACCCTCAGGATCTCCGTACCGGAGGGTCAACGCCGGCTGGTGAGTGTGTTTTTTTGTGTTTGTGAAGTCTGGGCCCATTTTCTGGGAAGGTCGGCAGATGGTCTAGGCGGACGCACTGCAAGGGCCGCCAACCCGGGATCCTGGAAGATGTTCCGGATTCTGCTGGTGGGGATGGAGTGCCCTGAGAGTACGAGTCTGTGAGACTCCTGGAGGGACGGTGCGGGTCACTCCCGCGGCACGGCGCGAGGCCGTCGTCCCCTTTTCATTGCCTCCGATCGGGCGGAGGACGGTTTTGTCTTGCCTTGTGCTTTTCTGTTGCGTTTGTTTGTCTGTTTATTGTGCTGACTTGGACTGAGACAATGGGACAGACTGTGACTACCCCTCTTTCCCTCATAAAGGACCATTTCAAAGAAGTCAGGGAGAGCGCTCATAACCTAAGTTTAGAAATTAAAAAGACTAAGTTCATCACCCTCTGTAGCTCGGAGTGGCCCACGCTTGGGGTAGGATGGCCCCCCGAGGGAACTTTTGATTTACAGGTTGTACGCAGGGTTCGTAAAGCCATCTGTCATCCTGACCAGGTTCCCTACATTGCCATTTGGGAATTTCTAATCTATAACCCATCCCCATGGGTTAAGCTTTTTTTGCCTTCACAGCAACAGCAGCCAAAGTTAATCCTGACAGCCTGTGAAAAGACTCCCAAAGGGCACGACAACAAAAAGCAAACCGAAACCAAGCCGACCACGCCACTTTACCCGGTCCTCCAGGGAGGGACTGAAGATCTTATTTTCCCTCCCCCTTACTCTCTCGCTCTTCCCCCACAACAGCAGGCTGAAAGAAATGACCCAGTCCCGGCTGGGGCTAGGGAAGAAGGGCCGGCCCCGGGTGCCGACAACCGTGATGGCCCTGCCCAGAATACTCACCACTGACGTGCCGCCTTGCCGGCGGGCCCGGCAGACTCTACTGTTTGTCCGTTATGAGTGATAGGGCCCCCTGATGAACATGGAAACCAGCCTCACTATTACTGGCCCTTTGCTACCAGTGATCTTTATAACTGGTGCCGTCAGCATGCCAATTTCTCTGATAACCCTAGAGATTTGATTAACCTGTTAGAAACTGTCTTGTTTACCCATCAGCCCACTTGGGATGACTGTCAGCAGCTTCTGCAGGTCCTGTTCACCACTGAAGAGCGAGAGAGGATTCAAAATGAGGCCAGGAAATTGGTTCCTGGTGACAATGGTCAACCCACCACCAATGCTGACACTATCAACACTTCTTTTCCTCTGTCCCGACCCAACTGGGATTTCAACATGGCAGAAGGTAAGGAGAGGCTTCAGGTCTATCGCCAGGCTCTGCTGGGAGGTCTCAAAGCAGTGGCAAGGAAGCCCACCAATTTGGCTAAGGTAGGGGATGTACAACAAAAGTTAGATGAAAGCCCTGCTGCTTTCTTAGAAAGAATTCAGGAAGCCTTCCGTAGGTATACTCCTATGGACCCAGAAGCAATTGAGACAAAGGCAGCTGTGATAATACATTTTGTCAACCAGGCGGCACCAGACATTAAGAGAAAGTTACAGAAAGTAGATAGGTTAAGAGAAAAGAGTATTCAGGACTTAGTGGCAGTGGCAGAGAGAGTGTATAACAATAGAGAAACAGCAGAGGAGAAACGAGAAAAAGCTGATGACCGCCAGACCCGAAACTTAGCTCGGATCCTTCTGGCTGCCACTGCGGGAGAACAAAGGGAACGTGAACGTAGGCTAAGAAAGACTGCGGTGGAAGGAGAAGGCAAGGAGAGACGCAGAGAGCATCCCCAGTTAGGAAAGAATCAATGTGCTCATTGCAAAGAATACGGCCACTGGGCCAAGGACTGTCCCAAAAAGAAACAACAGGAAGGTCGCCCCAAGGCCCCTATCCTGGCCGTGGATAAACTAGATGATTAGGGGGGACGGGGTTTGGCACCCCTCCCCGAGCCCAGGGTAACCCTAAAAGTGGAGGGGAGATCTGTCGAGTTCCTAGTGGATACAGGGGCTCAACATTCAGTCCTACTTGAACCATGTGGCCATGTTTCTGATAAAACCTCTTGGGTTCAAGGAGCTATAGGCATGAAAAAGTATTCAGGGACTACCCAAAGAACAGTGGACTTGGGAGTGGGCTGAGTAACCCACTCATTTATGGTTATACCAGACTGCCCCTACCCCTTATTGGGAAGAGACTTGCTTACTAAATTGGGGCCCAAATTCATTTCCAACCCAGGGGCACAAAAGTCCTTAATCAGGAGGGAAGGCCCATTCAGGTGCTAACCATAAACTTAGAAGATGAATATCTGCTACATCAGAAGAGGGCCCCTCCTGATCCTGACATGGAACAATGGCTCACCATGTTCCCACAAGCATGGGCAGAGACTGGAGGCATGGGACTAGCTGTGCACAGAGCACCAGTGTTTGTGGAGATAAAACCTGGAGCAGACCCTGTGCGAGTCTGCCAGTATCCTATGCCCCTAGAGGCCCAGAAGGGAATAACTCCACACATCAGGAGGTTGCTTGCTCAGGGGATTCTCAGGCCTTGTCAATCAGCCTGGAACACCCCCTTGTTGCCGGTACGGAAACCTCATTCAAATGACTATCAGCCAGTGCAGGATCTCCAGGAAGTGAACAAGAGGGTTATGGACATCCACCCTACGGTGCCTAATCCATACACCCTTTTGAGTTCACTTCCCCCAAGCCATCAATGGTACACAGTCTTGGATCTCAAAGATGCTTTTTTCAGCCTTCCGCTGGCACCCAAAAGCCAACACATCTTTGCATTTGAATGGAGTGACCCGGAACAAGGCCTCAATGGACAGCTGACATGGACCCGATTACCCCAAGGGTTCAAAAATTCTCCCACCATCTTTGATGAGGCCCTGCATGAAGACCTGGGTGAGTTTCGCCTCCAAAACCACCAATTGACTCTGTTACAATATGTAGATGATCTCCTCATAGCAGCTGAAATGCGGGAAGACTGCCTAAGTGGAACCAAGAAACTCTTGATGGTCATAGGGGAACTGGGGTACCGGGCGTCCGCCAAAAAGGCCCAGATCTGCAAACCCGAGGTAAGCTACTTGGGGTACATGCTTAGAGAGGGGCAAAGATGGCTGTCGGACGCTAGAAAAGAGACAGTTCTTAAGATACCCACCCCAGATTCCCCTCGGAAAGTTAGAGAGTTCTTGGGATCGGCTGGCTTCTGCCGCCTATGGATACTGGGGTTTGCGGAGCTCGCAAGGCCCCTTTACGAGGCAACCAAAGACAATCAGGCTTTTCAATGGACAGAGAAGCTACAAAAATCTTTTGACCAAGTTAAAACAGCCTTGCTGGTGGCACCGGCCTTGAGCTTGCCCGATATTACTAAGCCATTCCACCTTTACATTGATGAAAACAAAGGGGTCGCCAAGGGCATCCTAGTCCAGTATCTAGGGCCATGGCGCCGCCCAGTGGTGTACCTATCAAAAAGACTTGATCCAGTTGCATCAGGATGGCCCCCGTGTCTAAGAATGATTGCAGCAGTGGCTCTAATGGTCAAAGATGCTGACAAGTTAACGTTGGACCAAGAACTGTACGTAACCACCCCTCACGCTGTTGAGGGAGTCCTAAAACAGCCTCCGGATAGATGGCTCAGTAATGCCTGCCTGACTCACTACCAGAGCTTACTCCTGAATCCAGCCCAAGTTGTTTTTCAGACCCCGGCTGCCTTAAACCCGGCCACATTGTTGCCAGACCCGGACTTAGAGGGCCCGCTTCATGACTGCACAGACATCCTAGCTCAGGTGCATGGAATTCGAGCGGATCTGAAAGACCAACCGTGGCCAGATGCAGATAATACCTGGTACACTGATGGGAGCAGCTTTGTTCGCGATGGCCACAGGTATGCTGGGGCAGCTGTGGTAACAGAGACCGAGGTCATTTGGGCAGAACCATTGCCCACCGGGACCTCAGCACAACGGGCGGAGCTCGTAGCTCTGACCAAAGCGTTGACTCTAGGACAGGGCCAAAAGTTAAATGTATACACAGATAGCCGGTATGCCTTTGCCACCGTGCACATCCATGGGGCCATCTACAAGGAAAGGGGACTACTGACAGCTGAAGGAAAGACTATTAAAAACAAAGAGGAGATCCTTGCCCTCTTAACAGCCCTCTGGCTACCTAAAAAATTGGCCATTATCCATTGCCCAGGACACCAAAAAGGCGACACTCCAATTGCCAGAGGAAATAATCTAGCTGACCAGATGGCCCAAGAAATAGCCCTAAAGATTAATCTGACATTAGCCACTCAGCTGCCTGATCCAGGAGGTGCTGCCCTGCCAGAAAAACCCCAGTACACTGAAAAAGATTTAAATTGGATAAAACAATTACCTATGCCTCAGTGCCTCAATGGGTGGTGGAAATCTTCTGATTGTAAAGTCATCTTGCCTAAAGCGCTGGGAGAACAAGTTCTCTCCAAAATGCACCGGACCACCCATATGGGCACTCGAAAAATGCAAGACCTCCTGAGACATGCTGAAATAAAGATTTGTGATGCTAATTCTAAAATTGAACATATTGTTGCCACCTGCAAAGCCTGTCAATTGACAAATGCCACCCACAATAAAGCCAACCCAGGCAATAGGCTGAGAGGGAACCGACCTGGAACATATTGGGAATTGGACTTCACCGAGGTGAAACCTGGAAGGTATGGTTATAAGTACCTGTTAGTTTTTGTAGACACATTTTCAGGATGGACAGAAGCTTTTCCTACCAAACATGAAACAGCACGAAGTGTGACCAAAAAACTGCTAGAAGACATCCTGCCAAGATATGGTTTTCCAGTAATGTCAGGATCAGACAATGGACCCGCCTTCATTTCCAAGGTGAGTCAAACTTTAGCACAGATCTTGGGGACAGATTGGAAATTACATTGTGCATATAGACCCCAAAGTTCAGGACAGGTAGAGAGGATGAATAGAACTTTAAAAGAGACCTTAACTAAATTAACCTTAGAGACTGGCGGTGACTGGGTGACTCTCCTTCCCTTTGCCCTCTATAGGGTATGCAATTCACCCTATAAGATGGGACTAACTCCCTTTGAAATTATGTTTGGAATTCCCCCTCCCATTATTCCCAACCTTCAGTTGAATATGCTTGTTGAATTTGATGATCAAAAGTTGCTACTTTCTTTAAAAAGCCTCCAATGTGTACATGAAGATATCTGGCCTAAATTAGAAGCCTTGTACCAGACCGGACCACCTCCTGAGCCCCATCGCTATCGACCAGGAGACTGGGTCTTCGTCCGGAGGCATCGACAGAAGGACCTTGAGCCCCGTTGGAAAGGATCCTACGTCACAGTCCTGGCCACGCCCACCACTCTTGAGGTCGACAGGATCGCCTTGTGGGTGCACTACACCCACATCCGTCCCGCGGACCCACACGCTGTCCTAGAAGACTTTGTTCCGACATGGCAGGTGTCCAAGGACCAAGACAATCCTCTCAAACTCAAGCTGAGTCGTCAACGGTCATGATCGTGGTAACTGTACTTTTGACACCCATATTAGGACAAAACCCACATGCTCCCCTAAATTTAACTTGGATGATCATTAGCACCTCCACAGGTGACATTATTAACAGCTCATCCAAGGTGAGCCCACCGTTGACCTGGTGGCCTGCCCTAGAGTTTGATCTCTGTCGACTGGCCACTGGCAGTTGGGATATCGGACACTGGAGCCTAGAGTCACGGGGAAGGCCAGAATGTGGGGAAACACAAAAGGGATGTACCCTCCCCCCGGTCGATTCACGAAAACCGGGTTGCAACCATGTAATTCGCAGGGCAATATTACAAGATACCTCCTTCTACGTCTGTCCAGGAGGGGGGCGTACTAGAAGCCAAATTGTAACTTGTGGGGGTGCTGAACAGTTCTTTTGCAAAAATTGGGGTTGTGAGTCAACGGGGGCCATAACTTGGAAACCCTCCATTACAACTGATTTTATTTCGGTTGACACGATTCCCCAACAAAAGTTGGCATACAACCCTCTCTACGGCCACTGTACCCAATTTCTGTGTAACCCCATCCATATTACCTTTACGGACCCGGGCAAACAGTTCACAAATTGGGAGGCAGGCCGCAGTTGGGGGTTGCGATTATATGAAAATGGATATGATAATGGGTTACTTTTTACTATAAAACTAAAAATAGAGCCGCTTGCCATAGGGCCTCCCCAACTGATAGGGCCAAATCTGGCACTAGCCCCTATAGCTCCTCTCAGACCTACTAAGCCCCCTCCCCCAGAAAGCTCAGCTATGCCACCAGAAACAAATACCTCCATACAGGCACCAAACCTAACCTCCACTTCCACATTCCTACCCTCCGTTCAGATGACCACCCAGGCAGAAAAAGTCAACCATAGCCAGGACCAAGACCCCCTTTGGGAACTGATGGTCCACACCTTTAAGGCCCTAAATGAGTCTAGGCCAGACCTAACTCAGTCTTGCTGGTTATGCTATGATATCAAGCCCCCTTATTATGAGGCAATAGCTTATCTAGACAATTTCACTAAATCAGACAGTCCGACTCAGTGTAGATGGCAACAAAAAGGGACAGCTAGACTGACCCTACAGTTGGTAACTGGACAAGGAACTTGTGTTGGCAGTGTCCCGGCCTCCCACCAACACCTTTGTAATAAAACCTTTTTTCGGCCTAGACCAAAATATCTCATTCCCTCTTTTGACGGATGGTGGGCCTGCTCCTCTGGACTCACCCCCTGTGTACATGGACAAGTGCTGAGGCGGACTGGAGATTTCTGTGTACTAGTACAATTGGTCCCCCGACTATTATATCACTCAGAAAAAGACATCCTCAGTCGCCTGACTGAGACCCAAGTCAGGGTTAAACGAGAGCCCGTAACGGCCATTACTCTGACCGTTCTCCTAGGTTTGGGACTAGCCGGGGCAGGAACGGGAATTTCATCACTAGTACTACACAATAAACACTAAAATGATTTAAGGGCAGCCATAGATATAGATATTGAAAGACTAGAAAGCTCCATCTCCCACCTCCAAGAGTCTCTAACTTCCCTGGCAGAGGCAGTCCTCCAAAACCAAAGGGGGCTAGATTTAATTTTTCTTCAACAGGGAGGACTCTGCATTGCCTTAGGTGAAGAATGTTGCTTCTATGTAGATCATTCAGGAGTGGTCAAAGAATCTATGGCCAAAGTTAGAGAAGGCATCGCCAAACGCAAAAGAGAAAGAGAACAATCTCAAAACTGGTTCGAATCCTGGTTTAATTCCTCCCCTTGGCTAACTACCCTAATCTCTACCCTGCTAGGCCCCTTGCTTATCCTGTTACTACTGTTAACCTTTGGACCTTGTATACTCAATAGACTGGTTTCATTCATTAGAGAATGAATTAACGCTGTTCAGTTGATGGTACTTAGGTCTCAATATCAGCCAATTCCTACCGACCTGGTGGAATTAACCCCAGAGGCCCATGATTGGTCCTCTATAGCATCATGAGAAGGGGGGAATGTGGGACCAGGATGACTCCATTTTGGAGCAGTCTCCTTTGTTCTCTCAAATTTGTGCTTGAACTGGGACAAAAGATGTAATCCACAACTCGGGATTCCTAAATTTATTACTCAGCCATCTGTTTGCCCTAGAAACAAATGTCCCGGGCCTACTATCTATAGGACAATTTGTTAACGTGCTGACTGTCCACACAGGGTGGTCGTGACCATTAGTCAGGATGTCTGCTGACCATCAGTATGTGACAGTAGACCACTAACCTTTGTCCCTATTCTTCTTATAAAAACCTATACGTAATCCCCTTCAACCCCCAATGAGCCTAGCCAATCAAAATTCTACACTTCATATTTGCTAAGTGTTAACCAATCATATGGCTGCTAATGACCAAAGCTTGTTGTATTCTCAATAAAAACCCTGCTAATTTAGAACTCAGGGCCCTCAATCGCAATCCGCTGTGTCGGTGACAATTGAGAGTCCCTGCTTGAGCTTGAATAAACGACCCTCGTGTGCTTACATCGGAAACGGCCTCCTGGTGGTCTTTGGGACTTCACTATCTGGGCACAACATAGTGACTCTACATGAGATATGTAAAAGCTTCTCATTTGCTCCTGGGACTAGTGCCCAGCTGTCAGAACTCATAGCCCTGAAAACAGCTTTACAACTCAGTAAAGGACAGAAAGTCAACATCTACACTGATTCAAAACGTTTTCCTACTGCTGAATGCCCATGCAGCTACATGAAAAGAGAAATATTTTTAATAGGCAATACATGTCCCATATAATATCAGGAGATATATGAACTTCTATTATCTATCTACTTGCCCTCCAAGGTGGCAGTAATTCACTGTAGCATGCGCTAAAAAGGACGTGATAAAGTATTTCAAGGTAACTAGATGGCTGATGCAGCTGCAAAAAAGCTGCTCAGAGCCTCTCTCTTCAGGCTCCCCCTGATTTCTGAAGGGCTCCTCAAACAGACTTGACCCAAATATTCTCAGTCAAAAATTGAATGAGATCTCTCCCATAGATTTAAATTCCTTCCACCAGCATGGCTACAATCAGACAAAGGTAAATTGTTCCTTCCTGGTGCTAATCAAGGAAACATTATTAAGTCTTTATATCAAATCTCTCATTTGGGGAGAGACAAGACCCACCAAATGGCCTCAAAATTATTCTATGAATAATTCTATGAACAATACAACAATTCAGACAATACAATGATTCAGATGATACAACAATTAAGATATGTGAGCTCTACAAAAAAACAAAAACAAAAACAAAAACAAAAAACCTCTTAACCAGACTACATTTCATCTAGGTGTTCAGAGACATGGCAAATATCATAGAAAAGACTGGCAGCTTGATTTTATGCATATCCAAAAAATAATGGAATTCAATACCTACTGGTCTGGGTAGATACTTTTACTAATGGGCTTGAGGCCTTCCCTGCAAAACAGGAAAAGCACAAGAGGTAATAAAGGTTTTGGTTTCAAAAAATCATCCCCAAATTTGGACTCTAACAGTTTATAGAGTGATAATGGGCCTTTGTTAAAACAAGAGTCACACAGGGTGTCTCTCAGGTACTGGGCATTCTTTATCACCTTTATTATGCCTAGAGACTACAGTCATCAGAAAAGGTAAGAAAGAAAGAAAGGAAGGAAGAAAAGAAAGAAGAAAAGGAAGGAAAGGAAGGGAGAAAGAAAAAAAAAAAGGGAGAGAACCTAAATTAGAGACACCTTCCAAATGGCCCAGAAAATCTACCTACAGTGGTCCAATTTACTACCTTTTGCTCTTAAGATAAGAATTATGCCTCAAAATCTAGGTCTCAGTCCTTCTGAGATGCTTTATGGATGTTTTCTCACTAACAATTCTCTCTTTAATAGACGGATGCTTTAATAAAAGATATAACCTCACTGACTAAATTCTAACTCTTCAATATCTAACAAAAGCTGAGCCTAAATCCCATATCGCACTCCAGAGATCTGGTACTCTCCCATCTCCTTCCCTAGGACCAACTTGGGAAGCACTGCACAGTGATCTTGCAACCCACTCAGCTGTCAAAGGTAGTGGACCTTGACTCCTGGTAGATACACCATACTTGACTCAAACTCTGGGAAATAGACTATCCCTGAATATAAACAACCACTTGAGTAGTCCTGTAAACCAATAAACAACTTAAAGTTCTTATTCGAAAGAAAAGTGACATCTTCAAAAAACTAATCTAAGAAGTTATCTTTGGTCCTTTTACTAGTTACTTTCATACCACCTGGAGGAGTATCTAATTCCTTTCTAGTGTAGGCACAAAAATAGTTATTATAAACATCTGACAGATTTTTGGCCTGCTTCTCTTGTGAATAGTGCAGGACTCTCTTGGTAGGTATCCTCATTTCAAGGAGGTTAAAATAAGTTATATGAATTCACTGATGAAAAATGAAAAAGTTCAGCAGTTCATAGTTAATTCCACCATTGCTAGGTAACTGAGTGGCCTATAAACTGCACCCTTCACAGCCCTGTACATAATCAGATTTTTTTCTGGAAATGCCACTCTCTATGGGCTCTAATAAAACCCTTATTAAGAGCAAGGGACCAATTCTAAGAACCAAGAATCACAAATATCAAGGTAGGTACTTTCAGATTTGGGTTAACTATATATGGTTGACTCCTACTGCAGGATGCCTTAATAAAAAGCCTCCTTGTGTTGGGAGCAAAAAAACAAATCACTCCTACTCTCATTGGACTAACTCTACTAAACATTGCAGAGGACACTCCCTGATCAGGGTATACATACCCAAACTCTACAGGACTGGTTTAATCATGCTGGGATTAGATAAGAATCCCCAAAAGGCACTTATTGGTCCTGCAAAACCAATTTGTGGTCCTGGCTACACCTTGAGTTGATAGGGAGATGAATACTGAAATACATGTGGCTGTAAGGCAGAAATGTCAAAAATATCAACCCACAAACTTACCCCATCTATAACATTCATAGTCTAGGAGTGTATTTCATTCATATGATCATTTGGGTGCTACCGTTCTTCTCTTGGGATTAGTGGATGTCATGTATCACATTGAGGGCTTGACTGAATATATATACTCAATGGGCTTTAACTGGCACCTTAACTGGGATCTTTCTTCTAAATAAAGAAGTCAGATTAATAAGCCAAGCTGTCCTCCAAAATCAGATGGCCTTGGACATCTTAATAGTGAAACAAGGGGGAACCTGTGCAATTTATAAATGGTAAATATTGTGGGTATTATTTCTGATCCTTCCACTAATATCTCAAGGGTTGTGCAAGATATTAAACAGGTTAATGTCATGTCAGACCCCAAAGCTCCCTGGACCTTCTCCTTACCCTCTTTGTGGGAAGCTATCTCTGGATCTTCCTGGTGAAAATATCTGTTGCCCACACTAGTAATAGTCTTGATCTTATTAGACCATGCACACATAACTGTTTCTTTAGCTTTGTCTCCTCCAGACTTAAAGCTATACAGCTACCTAAGATGGGAATGCCTCACATTCATCAAGGTCCTCTAGATAGTCCCAATAAGGAGTATCTCCGACTGCCAACCATAACTATGACCCCTTCCAGCTGAAAGTAGCCAGAGGTGTCTAATGACCACTGATAGCAGTTAGGGATACCTCCTCAGAGGAGGGATTATAGATAGTTAAGTTAGAAGGGAATTAACAGGCAGTTAGACGGATTGGGCCCTCAAAGAAATCAGTGCAGGAGATGAAAATGCATCAAAACTGTGTCTTCAGGTGAATCTAAATTCGCCAGGTCTGGAGATAAGAGACCCAATAACCAGGCTTATAAGCCTCAGTAGAGATAAACAAGTTGAGATCATACTGTATTTAGCACCACGTGGTCCAATGTGCCCAGATAGGCATGAGACTCATAGGTGTGTGACCAAAACATTTGGACCTATCTTACCATTTTTTTCCAAGAATGTTTTTGTTCTTTCAATGTTAAAGATAAAGAAAAGCTAAAGCTAATGATGGCAGCCACATAACCTGTGTGCCTCACTTTCCTATTGTATCAATATTAGCTAAATTGGGCTGGGGATTTAGCTCAGTGGTTCTACCACCTGCCTCAAAAGCACAAGGTCCTGAGTTTGATCCTCATTACCAAAAAAAAATTTAGCTAAATGACTGTGCCTTTAATCTTATTGATTGATTGTAGTTTGACCTATATACTACACACATTCTGATTTTGCTGTAGAAAATAATCTTTAAGAAAGAGCCTCAGTGGCAACTCATTTCATAGACTCCTACTATCTCTCAGGAGCTTTTTCTCAGAAAGTTTCCCACTGTTAACCTCTTTTGTTCTCAAAATTCATTCTTTGACATTTGGGAGACATGAATGTGGCACATCTAACATCTAACAGGTTTAGAATTATTTTTTCCCCATCACATGTTTACTGGGGTTAAAATTTCCCTCATTTGGGCCAATAGTACTTGGTCCATTCTAGAACAGTAGCATTTGTCAAAACTTGTTTGCTAAAAATTGACTTTTGTCTCCTGCTGCTTTCATTCCTTAAGCAGAAGCATGGATAAATTTGACTACAAATACCTTGTCTTTGTGTTTTCTTTGGTTGGGAGTATTGTTCCTAAACATTTTTTTTTTCTGTACTAGAAACCTTAAGCAATAAAGCCAGGATAAGATGTATAAACTTATGAGGACCTATATCTAAATTTTAGCACAATGGAAAACGTCTTAAAATTTGAAATAAGCTTTTAATTTGACTAACACCTAAAGTAAGTTAAGGCACCAAAATAAAAAGAAAACCTTTAAAAAATTCAAACCCATATTAACTAGGCAAGTAAACCTCTTTGACATGTATATTTCTCACCTTGCTACAACCTGGAAATATACTTT